TTATTATTATTATTATTATTATTATTATTATTATTATTATTATTATTATTATTATTATCATTATTAGGCCTATTACAGTATTATTTATTAGGCCTATTATTATTATTATTATTATTATTATTATTATTATTTGGTGCTTACACCTTGTTTATTTGCGCCTTATAAATTGACTTATTATTATTATTATTATTATTATTATTATTATTATTATTATTATTATTATAAAATATAGATTTTTTTGTTCCCTTTTTGAGTTGAGCAACCAAATGTTGATTGTCGTCTTTATACGTGCGTCTGTAAAGTTGCCTTGAAACCCACATTCGAGCAAGAAAAAATCGCCTGCATTCGTGAATTCTGTATTTAGGCATATGGGGGGTGGGGCTGTAGACACTCTTAATGGACCGACGTTCTTGTTCGAAGATGTATATAGTAAGTGTAACTGATTGACTTACAGTAAACCTTAAAACTAGCGTAATATAAACACATTTAAACTCCATCTAATTTAACGAAAACAATAGGATACTTAATTAGGCCATTTTCTAAAATAAACTTCTCTACAGAATTTACAGTAGACTTAATGTGTTAGGTTGTAAAAACTGTATTGAGTATAAAAAAAAAAATTTTCGAATAAAAAATCTTTCGCTTGACATTAGGAATTAATCGTTTGTGAAACAAAGTGATAGGCTATGTCAAGTGTTATATTGAACAATGGCAGATTCAATGGGGAACCCAGTCAGCACGGGACCCCATCCTCCTATTTTTTTCAAAATAAAAAAAAAATGGAGAAAACAGACAAAATTGTATTCAATTTTTAATACGAGAGTGCTATTTCCGGCCATCTAGAAGTGCCATAATCATAATTTTTTCTTACCTCAGCCCCAACATTTGTGGGGATGAGGCGAGTGGACATTTTATTTGCGCAAGACCCTCCCTGGAACCCCTCTATTTCGACTTCCAGGACCCGCCACAGTTGGAGTATCATTTCCGGGCTACATAGAAGGGTAATTTTTATCCATCGGGGGAAAAGTGAAGTTTTCGTCGGGAATCCATATCAAGGATAACCCTCATGATAAATAATCCATTGAGGTCGTGTGTGGAAGCAATCTCGACTTCGACTTCGTTCGGAAATCTGTGGCGCGTTCAAGGGGAGGGGGAAGCTAAATTGTTCAAATTTTTTTTTAATGGAGATATAAGGAAAATTATATTCAAATTTTAAGTCTGAGAGTGTAAATTCCGGCCACCTTGAGGTGCCATAATCACAAATTTTCTTACCCCAACCATGGTGGGACTGAGGTGGTATAAATTCTCCATCTGCTGAAGTACCCAGTAGGGGATTCAGGACCCAGCAGGCCCGCCCCTAATCCCCTAAATTGTTCAATAAAATAAAATAGAGATATAATCACAAATTTTCTTACCTCAGCCCCAACCCATGGTGGAGCTGAGGTAGTATAGATCTTCTATCTGTAAAAGTACCCTCCCTGGGCCCTTCTATTTCGAATTCCTGGATCGGCCACTAAATTACAACAAATATGAAATCATATTACAGTAGCTTGGTGCCTATAAAATAACTTACAAAATTCACCAAACTTCCTAAAATATCCGTAGCTTCCCTCTTGGACAGTATTGTCAAATTTTAATAAATAAATTAATAAATTCGAGTTTAGCCGCAAGGAATCACAGCACCAAGAAACAAATAAAGCTTTAAGATTTGTTTTATTCATATCAAAATCCTTCCATGCAAACTCGCATGATACCACATAAAGATCTAATTAATATTAAAGTATTAAACTTTGAAATCAATAGTCACCTGCTGGTAAACGCCATAGCTTACAATGAAAAAATAAAAAGGTACAGTAAGTTGGTACAAATTGACCTAAAATACTAATAGCCGAATAATAATACTATACAATACATTAATAATTATACTCGATATCCGGCATCATATGTCTTGCATAATAGGCTTCTTACTTTATTTTATACCGAATAAAAAATCAACGGATTGGTCAACTTCCAACGTCCAACATTTAAGCGATTACGTCGACCCTTATCCTAGTGGGTAACCACTGTGTGCCATAAAGAGGTAGTTCAATGGGCTGCTTATAGCCCAAAGGCCTGCCAGGTAGTTGTCCAGGAGAAAGGGGGTCAGGGTTCAATTACTTGAATTGTTTACCTAAGTTTTCAGCTGTGTTAGTAGGCCTATAAAGGATTAATGATATCTAATCCACTAACTATAGTAATGCTTTCCAACAGTCCACCACTTGATCATTCATTTATCTGTACATTATCAATCCTTTATTATACCGACTTGTTTTGGACTTAACTATAGTTTCTGAAATGTATTACCAAGAAACTTTCTCAGTATGTTCATTTTATGTTAAGCGTTGACAAAGACTACAGGAGTAGCCGAAATATTTGTTTCAATAAGTTATAGTGTTTATAATCTGAATTTATATTACCGTTACGCATCTTCTTAATAATTATATATATTTGTAACCCGAGTTTCCTTGAAAACCAAATATTCCAGGACAATATTACAAATAAATAATAATCCAGGAAGACGCCTTGTTAAAATATATATATATATTAAGTATTTATTTGAAAATTTAAACCAGAGCCTTGCAGGCGTCAACGTTCCTATGCATGATACACGACTTTTAGAAGTATATGTATATGTGCTGTCTCTTATACACATTCTAGGTTGCGCAAATTCTTGATCGCGAAATTGTTCTTTCTTGTCCAAGTGTTTCCAAAAGAGTTTTAAAAAGAAGTTCAATGTACGAAAAGAGTTCCACACTTCCAATTGCTGGTAATTAAGATTACAGGTCCTTTCCAATAGTTATGTTAAATCCAAAATTATAATATCCGAAATTAAGTTTTCGTCTATAAAAGAGAAAATATAAACACTTAAAACTAAAAGATCTAAACTAATAAAATATACGAATATATCAATACTT